CAATCTGAAAAGACCTTTGATGTTGGATTCCGAGCTAGGTTATACCGATTGTAAAGTATTAGACATGTGACCCTTGACCTCTGATTTTCTGCTTTTACACAGACACAGGCATGCATAAAATCCAGGTATTCTCTGAACAAGCATTTTAGTAATCTGATGTTGTCACTCCGAGCGAGACATTTGATGTCTTATTAAACGGTCTGATAGATGGACCTGTTTTGTCATATATATATATTTATTGCTGCTTTGCAGCTGATAAGAAATGGCAACTGATGATCATGTCAGATAATAATTTTCTGTGTATATTTTTCTGCCAGATCAATATGTAGAGCGTCCTACTACTCATTGTTCAGTGATCTAAGGTGAATGTGATTAAAATACTGACCATCATTATGCACTACGTACTTCCTAATTTAACTAACGGGAGTGAAGTTGGTTGGTTATAGGATTTGTCTGTATGAAACTTCCTGTCAGTGGTCTGATGATGTTTGGGAGTGAAGTTGGTTGGTTATAGGATTTGTCTGTGTGAAACTTCCTGTCAGTGGTCTGATGATGTTGGGGAGTGAAGTTGGTTGGTTACAGGCTTTCTGTCTGTGTGAAACTTCCTGTCAGTGGTCTGATGATGTTGGGGAGTGAAGTTGGTTGGTTATAGGATTTGTCTGTAGGAAACTTCCTGTCAGTGGTCTGATGATGTTGGGAGTGAAGTTGGTTGGTTACAGGCTTTCTGTCTGTGTGAAACTTCCTGTCAGTGGTCTGATGATGTTGGGAGTGAAGTTGGTTGGTTATAGGATTTGTCTGTATGAAACTTCCGGTCAGTGGTCTGGCGATGTTTGGGAGTGAAGTTGGTTACAGGCTTTCTGTCTGTGTGAAACTTCCTGTCAGTGGTCTGATGATGTTGGGAGTGAAGTTGGTTGGTTATAGGATTTGTCTGTATGAAACTTCCTGTCAGTGGTCTGATGATGTTTGGGAGTGAAGTTGGTTGGTTATAGGATTTGTCTGTAGGAAACTTCCTGTCAGTGGTCTGATGATGTTGGGAGTGAAGTTGGTTGGTTATAGGATTTCTGTCTCTGTGAAACTTCCTGTCAGTGGTCTGATGATGTTGGGAGTGAAGTTGGTTGGTTATAGGAGTGAAACTTCCTGTCAGTGGTCTGATGATGTTGGGAGTGAAGTTGGTTGGTTATAGGATTTGTCTGTATGAAACTTCCGGTCAGTGGTCTGGTGATGTTTGGGAGTGAAGTTGGTTGGTTATAGGATTTGTCTGTATGAAACTTCCTGTCAGTGGTCTGATGATGTTGGGGAGTGAAGTTGGTTGGTTATAGGATTTGTCTGTAGGAAACTTCCTGTCAGTGGTCTGGCGATGTTTGGGAGTGAAGTTGGTTGGTTATAGGATTTCTGTCTGTGTGAAACTTCCTGTCAGTGGTCTGGTGATGTTGGGAGTGAAGTTGGTTGGTTATAGGAAACTTCCTGTTTGTCTGTGTGAAACTTCCTGTCAGTAGTCTGGTGATGTTGGGAGTGAAGTTGGTTGGTTATAGGATTTGTCTGTGTTAAACTTCCTGTCAGTGGTCTGATGATGTTGGGAGTGAAGTTGGTTGGTTATAGGATTTGTCTGTGTGAAACTTCCAGTCAGTGGTCTGGTGATGTTTGGGAGTGAAGTTGGTTGGTTATAGGATTCCTGTCAGTGGTCTGTGATGTTGGGAGTGAAACTTCTGTGTGAAACTTCCTGTCAGTGGTCTGATGATGTTTGGGAGTGAAGTTGGTTGGTTATAGGATTTGTCTGTGTGAAACTTCCTGTCAGTGGTCTGATGATGTTGGGGAGTGAAGTTGGTTGGTTATAGGATTTGTCTGTATGAAACTTCCTGTCAGTGGTCTGATGATGTTGGGGAGTGAAGTTGGTTTTGGTTGAAACTTCCTGTCAGTGGTTGATGATTTGGGAGTGTGGTTGGAGGACTTGTCAGTGATGATGTTTGGGAGTGAAGTTGGTTGGTTATAGGATTTGTCTGTAGGAAACTTCCTGTCAGTGGTCTGATGATGTTGGGAGTGAAGTTGGTTGGTTATAGGATTTGTCTGTGTGAAACTTCCTGTCAGTGGTCGGATGATGTTGGGGAGTGAAGTTGGTTGGTTACAGGCTTTCTGTCTGTGTTATTCTTCCTGTCAATGGTCTGATGATGTTTGGGAGTGAAGTTGGTTGGTTATAGGATTTGTCTGTATGAAACTTCCTGTCAGTGGTCTGATGATGTTTGGGAGTGGAGTTGGTTGGTTATAGGATTTGTCTGTAGGAAACTTCCTGTCAGTGGTCTGGTGATGTTTGGGAGTGAAGTTGGTTGGTTACAGGCTTTCTGTCTGTGTGAAACTTCCTGTCAGTGGTCTGATGATGTTGGGAGTGAAGTTGGTTGGTTACAGGCTTTCCGTCAGTGTGAAACTTCCTGTCAGTGGTCTGATGATGTTGGGGAGTGAAGTTGGTTGGTTACAGGCTTTCTGTCTGTGTGAAACTTCCTGTCAGTGGTCTGATGATGTTTGGGAGTGAAGTTGGTTGGTTATAGGATTTGTCTGTGTGAAACTTCCTGTCAGTGGTCTGATGATGTTGGGGAGTGAAGTTGGTTGGTTACAGGCTTTCTGTCTGTGTGACTCTTCCTGTCAGTGGTCTGATGATGTTGGGGAGAGAAGTTGGTTGGTTACAGGCTTTCTGTCTGTGTGACTCTTCCTGTCAGTGGTCTGATGATGTTGGGGAGAGAAGTTGGTTGGTTACAGGCTTTCTGTCTGTGTGAAACTTCCTGTCAGTGGTCTGATGATGTTTGGGAGTGAAGTTGGTTGGTTATAGGATTTGTCTGTGTGAAACTTCCTGTCAGTGGTCTGATGATGTTTGGGAGTGAAGTTGGTTGGTTATAGGATTTGTCTGTGTGAAACTTCCTGTCAGTGGTCTGATGATGTTTGGGAGTGAAGTTGGTTGGTTATAGGATTTGTCTGTAGGAAACTTCCTGTCAGTGGTCTGATGATGTTGGGAGTGAAGTTGGTTGGTTATAGGATTTGTCTGTATGAAACTTCCGGTCAGTGGTCTGGCGATGTTTGGGAGTGAAGTTGGCTGATTAGAGCTTTTCTGTCTGTGTGAAACTTCCTGTCAGTGGTCTGATGATGTTGGGAGTGAAGTTGGTTGGTTATAGGATTTGTCTGTATGAAACTTCCGGTCAGTGGTCTGGCGATGTTTGGGAGTGAAGTTGGTTGGTTATAGGATTTGTCTGTGTGAAACTTCCTGTCAGTGGTCTGATGATGTTGGGGAGTGAAGTTGGTTGGTTATAGGATTTGTCTGTGTGAAACTTCCTGTCAGTGGTCTGGTGATGTTGGGAGTGAAGTTGGTTGGTTATAGGATTTGTCTGTAGGAAACTTCCTGTCAGTGGTCTGATGATGTTGGGAGTGAAGTTGGTTGGTTATAGGATTTGTCTGTATGAAACTTCCGTGGTCTGATGATGTTGGGGTGAAGTTGGTTGGTTAAGTTGTCTGTGTGAAACTTCCTGTCAGTGGTCTGATGATGTTTCGGAGTGAAGTTGGTTGGTTATAGGATTTGTCTGTGTGAAACTTCCGGTCAGTGGTCTGGTGATGTTTGGGAGTGAAGTTGGTTGGTTATAGGATTTGTCTGTATGAAACTTTCTGTCAGTGGTCTGGTGATGTTTGGGAGTGAAGTTGGTTGGTTACAGGCTTTCCATCAGTGTGAAACTTCCTGTCAGTGGTCTGATGATGTTGGGAGTGAAGTTGGTTGGTTACAGGCTTTCTGTCTGTGTGAAACTTCCTGTCAGTGGTCTGATGATGTTTGGGAGTGAAGTTGGTTGGTTATAGGATTTGTCTGTGTGAAACTTCCTGTCAGTGGTCTGATGATGTTTGGGAGTGAAGTTGGTTGGTTACAGGCTTTCTGTCTGTGTGAAACTTCCTGTCAGTGGTCTGATGATGTTTGGGAGTGAAGTTGGTTGGTTAGAGCTTTTCTGTCTGTGTGAAACTTCCTGTCAGTGGTGTTGATGATGTTGGTTGGAGGTGAAGTTGGTGTGGTCTACATGTCTGTGTGAAACTTCCTGTCAGTCTGATGATGTTGGGAGTGAAGTTGGTTGGTTATAGGATTTCTGTCTCTGTGAAACTTCCTGTCAGTGGTCTGATGATGTTGGGAGTGAAGTTGGTTGGTTACAGGCTTTCTGTCTGTATGAAACTTCCTGTCAGTGGTCTGATGATGTTTGGGAGTGAAGTTGGTTGGATATAGGATTTTTCTGTATGAAACTTCCGGTCAGTGGTCTGGCGATGTTTGGGAGTGAAGTTGGTTGGTTATAGGATTTGTCTGTGTGAAACTTCCTGTCAGTGGTCTGGTGATGTTTGGGAGTGAAGTTGGTTGGTTACAGGCTTTCTGTCTGTATGAAACTTCCTGTCAGTGGTCTGATGATGTTTGGGAGTGAAGTTGGTTGGTTACAGGCTTTCTGTCTGTATGACTCTTCCTGTCAGTGGTCTGATGATGTTTGGGAGTGAAGTTGGCTGATTAGAGCTTTTCTGTCTGTGTGAAACTTCCTGTCAGTGGTCTGATGATGTTTGGGAGTGAAGTTGGTTGGTTACAGGCTTTCTGTCTGTGTGAAACTTCCTGTCAGTGGTCTGATGATGTTGGGGAGTGAAGTTGGTTGGTTACAGGCTTTCTGTCTGTGTGAAACTTCCTGTCAGTGGTCTGATGATGTTGGGGAGTGAAGTTGGTTGGTTACAGGCTTTCTGTCTGTGTGAAACTTCCTGTCAGTGGTCTGATGATGTTGGGGAGTGAAGTTGGTTGGTTACAGGCTTTCTGTCTGTATGAAACTTCCTGTCAGTGGTCTGATGATGTTGGGAGTGAAGTTGGTTGGTTATAGGATTTGTCTGTGTGAAACTTCCTGTCAGTGGTCTGATGATGTTGGGAGTGAAGTTGTTTGTTTACAGGCTTTCTGTCTGTGTGAAACTTCCTGTCAGTGGTCTGATGATGTTGGGGAATGAAGACACAAACACAATTTAAGTATAGATGGTTTATTGACACAGCATGACTTTACGTAAGGACTACAAGCTGAAGGCAACCATGAGATGCAGTAATTCAATGAATAGTTTAAACATAAAATGTCCATCAGACACCCCAAGCCTATACGGCACAAGGCCTGTACAAAAAATAAACGGAAATAACATTGAGCAGTAAATTGTGGACAGGATCAGAACTATACACAAATAATTAGACCAATCTGACTTTGTTTACAGCATCTTTGACATCAGAAAACACTAACAAACATAAAAACAGATTAGACAAAAAAAGAGTCAAAGAAAATGACCTCTGTTTGCAACTACAAGGCCACAAAGATGCCAAATTTACAACAAGGTCAAAAATACTGCAACAAGGAGTGCTATCATTTGACAAAAGTCATGACCCTGATCTTCATGTCAACACTTTGTGGCTTTGCAAAGCAAGTCAAAATCTTGTGACTATGGTTACCAAGCTGTGAAAACTTATAAAACAAATCTGTTGCAAAGTGTGGATATTTTAAGTGCATACGATGTTAACTTGATACAAAAAATACATTGCATGTACAATGAAATGAAAATATAAAATGATGAACATAAAAATCTACATTTTGTTGTTTGAAACTTAAAACACATCATTTAGCAGGTAAAATCAATGGCAATAATGGTTTATTTACACATAAAACATAATTCATAATATGAAAATCACAGTACTACATTTGGCGCAAAAAAAAAAAATGAAAAAATAAAATGGCAGGGAACTGGAACAAATCTGACCGGCTCACTGACTTATATGGCCGTCAATATTTCATTTATTGCTGATTTATCTAAATTAATCTTTTATCATGATTTCTGGGTGAACGAATCACTCTCAAAGTGGTATCTATCCAATCCGAATAACTATTCTTTGCTGTTGCAGAGTATTAAATGGAAAAATCTTTATCAGTTTAACCATGAATTCGTTTTACATAAGACGAATATTCAACCTAAAATGTTCATGTTATGTATAACAATTAATCCTGCCTTTTCATTTTTATGAATTAATATAGTATCTAACTTGAATTTCTCCAACCATCACTACAATAAGGCATTGAAATATATACATCATTGTAATATTTGTAAAGAATTATACCAGTTGTAAATACAGTTGTTAATGTTATAAGCCTATTAGGACAGGCCTTCTACTTGTGGTTTAGCATTCGTGACTCCAATCAGCATGCATATAAAATGGCTACTTTAATATTTTGAATCCTTCAGTCACTGCCCTTAATATAATTATAAATATAATAAATATTGAAAATAATCGGAAAGACAGTTACATTTAAAAGCTATTTTAAAAAACATTTAACCAGAATCCTTTAAATTTTCAGATTTTTTTTTCTGTCCATCACAAGTGACTTATTACAATATAACATTCTTGAAAACCATCTGGAGCAAACGCTATTTGAAAAAAACTAGAAACAAGCTGACAAGCTGCCCGAGTTGCTAAATATTCAACATATCCAACCTAAGTAAAAACAGTGAGTTAATCATATGGTTGACTAGTGACGGAGATTACAAAACAGAATACAATTTACAAGCCCATTTCTAAAATGGTGTGACTACACTTAATTACAGGTTTTGTCAATTTAAGATTGGTTTATAGTGAAGCAAAAGATCAACTTGGATATTACGACATTAAACAGTTATATACTGGTGTACAAGTCGATGAGTCCGCTGTGCCTGTGCCGCACACCTTGCCAGTCCTTCCCCTTCACTACAGATCTATAAAACTTGTATGGCCCCACCCTACTCGACCCCCACCTTGAATCAAATGACTCCCCATCGAAACGAAACATCACCTTATAAGGAGATTTATCATGATTGGTGACCTTTCAAAAAGAGGAGTAACTGTCAGCCAGTTAGGTATTTCAACAAGTTTTGTTACCTCTTGTTCTTGCACTAAAATATAAATACCGGTTGAGCAACCATGTTTCAAACACATTACCAATGTATAGAGTATGGACAATATACAAAAAATGGCAAGACCATATATCAAAATGTATTAACATCATCGAAAAAACACCTATACAAGAACATTAGGATTTTCTTTCATCTTTAAACGCAATAAGCTCTTCCATCTTATGTTACACTGAAATGAAACCATGGAAAAAATTGCACATAAGTATGTGATTAAGTTTCTCAATCAACACATTGTTGATTTTCTCAACTTTCTTTCAGCATGAAAGATAATTTACCACTTTAAACGATTCTGGTGAACTTTGTGTGATTCCTTCTATATGCCACTTATCATACACATACCACAAACTTACAGAGAATGCTAAAAAACATCCAGAAATGATGAAATATCAGGACTGATAGTAAAAATCTTCAGGCAGACTTTATTGAACACAGTACAATATGGGAGTGGAGAGAAATATACTGTAACTAATTATTTTACAACATCACATGACAAAAGAAGGAATTATTTATTTTTTGTGTAAATATGAAACAGTGCTGCCTTCAGGTGCATCCATACCTGATTTAAAGCAAGAGAACCGCAGAACTAGTCATGAGTGAATGTGATGATTTTGTTTATGGTTTTTTTTTTTTTTTTTTTAGCGAGACAGAACTACATTTACGGGACTGACACTTATGTACACACAATTAGTATTGCAACAAGCCTGGGTCAACTTCACCCAATTTCAGAGTTACTTCCCTTGAACACACTAATTATTCCCAGTCTTTCCCCAATGTCTAACCTTCACCTTGGATATCTACCTTTATGTGTCAATAAATATGACAATGTGACAAAACCTCTTTTTCAACATAACTTTTTTGTACCATATTATGTCTATATTATTCTGAAGCTATCCAAGCAAATCAAAATGGTGATCATGAACATCTTATATAACCAGTGGATAAACGACAATAAATGTAGAGACATTATCCAAACATTGCTGGGATGCTTAACGAACTTTCAATGTAAAATACATGTATGATGTGATTGGAAGAGCATGTTATTATTTAGTCGTCTTTTAAACAAAATAAAAAATGAAAAAAATTTAAAAAACAAACGAAACAAAGATGTTTGAAATAAAACACAGGAAAAGCACCCAACTCCCTACCTGGTACGTCAACAAAAATATTTCTCTCGTTCAAGCACAACAATATAGTGCATTAAGGTATTAAGACTTTAACCGGCCATCGTCTTTGATCACCCACAATCTGCTTCAAGTACAATAACTGCCTACCTATCCATATATCGACATCTCCAACAGAGTCCTGTGACAGATGGCCTATGTTTTCTTAGCTCTAGACAGATAAGCAGATGCTGCTTTATGTCTTTAATAATCTGACAGACGAAAAAACCCAGTCTTTCATTGGGACTGCACTTTAGACACTGAATCCTAAGTAAATGAATGTACATCCAGCGAAATCAAGAGGTCACTTGCTGGTGGTACACCCAACAACTAGTGGAGGCAGGTTTCTGTAAGTGTTCTCCCAAACACACCTATATCTGGACAGTGGGCACAATACTGCTGGCTGTTCTTTGCTTATTTCTCTGTTTCAATCCTCGGGGAAGCGTATGAATGAATATAAGCTAAGGGAAAGTCTGCATATACACATTACTGAGTTAATCTGTCCACAGGAAGCTAGAAGCTCCATCCCAACATGTCGGTTCTAAAAAATTGGACCAAAAAATGTTTTAAAATTCTTGTCACCAAGACAATTGTTTCTTTTCCAATATTTCTGGTCTTTCCGATCACAATCAAACAGTCAGCACAAATGTATGCTTCTGTTCTGTGCAATTATAAAAAAGTTTGCATCATTCCACATATAAAGATCACATGACTTAGTCACATGTCTATCTCCTACTCTCAGACTAAATGGCACTTTCTTTACTTTCTTTATTCTTGGCCTTGCCAAAGGAAGGCATACGGAATTTCTTCTTCTTTTGCTTCTGTTTATCCTTGGATGGTGATGGATGTTCTTTAGTTGGAGATCCCTGTGAAAAGGTATAAATTGTTTTCAATATCCCTTGTCATGGTTTGATGAAGCTTATTTTCATATTACAAATCTGTTAATATCCAGTATGTTAAATGCTCCGGTTACCATTGGGCAGTGCCAAACCAAACTCCCACCCATGTGGTCACAACTGTCTCAGACGGCCTCAAGTGTAAAGAATGAATTGTTCCAGACTTTATTTAACAAGCATCATTTACTTAAGGGCAAACTAAGTTAAGAAATTATAAGTTTCATTATTTCTTGAAATAAAGAGGGAAGATGAATCTTCTTATTATTCTATAAAAGAAAAATATAATTGGTTTAAGTAGGCTTTTCTCACCTCTTTACTGCTACGATCTTCAAGTGTTTCTCCTCCGCTAGCGCTGTCTGTGGACTTCAGCGTGTCTGATTTGGCGGGGGAAGATGGCTTCTCATCGCCATTTAGTTTACGATCTGAAATGGATGACAGCAAAAGTAGTTTTACTAAAAGAACTTTGGGGGAAAAAATTGAACTTCATATAAATGACAGTACAGTTACCTGACCAAAAAATTGCAACTATCACATCATGGTAATAACATGTGCCATACCACAAATTATGTACATCAATATATGTCTGTTAGCTGACAACATCAATAAAAGGAGTTTAAGTAAATATATGATTTCACAAATTCACAATATTTAATGAAAATGGATTATACAAGCACAACAATATTTAAAAAAAAAATCATTGATGATACAAAAAATTTTTGTCATTTGCTGACAGGAAATAGCTGAAATAGAAAATACATGTAAATGGATAACTTAAACCAAAACAAATATTTTCCGATTACCTCAAGCATATAAAGTCAGTTGAAAAAAGTGCAGTAGTATATCATACTGAATTTAAATATCCATTACCCAGAATGGTACAGTAGAATATTTGTGAAACCATTGACAATAGTTTATACACCATAATGATGTAAACTTTGATGTATTTCATCCTTCGGTACAGGATTGCTAGTTCATTCTATTTAAAGTATGAGGCAAGCTGCTACAAATTTTATGGAAATGTTACTGATATTTACAGTATTAAAATCAATATTGAGCTGTAATATGATATGGTGGGTTATTTTGTTATTAGGTTTGTTGTTAATCATATAGTAGACAACCAAGGAGTAATGAAATCCAAGTGTGATTTTCATAGACATATTGTTGATAAAGTACAAGACAGAAATAAATACTCTGGGTATTCTGGTGTAGTTCTTTATAGACAGGGAGCCAACTAAGCCAACTAGATAAATTTAGTACAATTAAATAACTTCTCAGTGATTTCTTCAGTAAAACTTTCATCATTTCTGTTCTAATGCAACAAATTCATATGATTTTTATTTCTTATTTCTCTAAGACAGTAAATACTTGCAAGTAGATTAATTTTCTTTACATTTAATTAGGTGTTGGTTTAAATTATTTTCAACTACACAAAGTCCTTGATTATCTTGCTATTTAATTAAAAAGATAGCAGGTAATTCTAAAGAGAAGATATCCTGTTCAAGGACAGGAAGATCACGTTTTTAAACCCTTTCTGTCCATGAACTGGTACACAAACAAGGTAGACTAGTACTGAGTAGCCCGCATTTTATGCTTGTTTTCTGAAACATAATACCTTTTAGCTAACTTTATAGATTAACCATGTGCACTGAACTTTAAACTCCCAAATATTGAGTTACTTACAAAATAATGCAATAAATATCCATTGATATCTCAAATAAATGTAAGCAAGTACTTCTGGTTGAAACATTCTAAACCTGTATGCTTTGAAGTCAAACGGCACTACCAATTAGTGACAGAAAGAATAGATAGTGGTCAGTTCCAGAATTAACAAGTTGTTCTAAGGATAGTCAGTATTTCTATTTAGTAAAAGTTCAGATAAAAGGACTACAGAACAGAATGAAAATTAAAAGCTATACATAACAGAGATTCATTTCTTTAATATTGCATTCACACCTGTCAATAAAGGCCACTAAAAACAGAAGACAAAATGGTGCTTATTTTGAGGCCTTTATAGGCTTTTTACTATAGATGTGACCCGATTTCAGCAGGTATAATGTCACAATGGTTCTCTATATTTTATTTCTTAAACAATTTTGTTCAATTAAATCCTTACAAATAGAATTTGAACAACTCAGCCCATATTTCCTTAATCAGTTTTACAAAAACTGATAGTTTGGATGCATAAACAACTAAATTAATATGTACCCAACACCAAGGAAACAACATTAAAAGCCAAATCTAACCAACATGACACAATAAGACACAGCATCAAGACAAATTAGGATCCAAGTTGTGAGGAAGGGTTTCAGCAAGGATATAAAGCTTTTGGTTATTGAAGATGAATGTCTAAAAATTTGGTGGTTGAAATTTTAGTTTGACAAGTTAGAAAATCAGAACTTTTTTTATATTACATTATCATTGACTGACTTTAATTATTCATTTTTCAGTTCACATAAATCATGCTTTTAATTCTGAATTATTCTTTCAATACTGAACAAAAACAGATATAAGTTATCTTTTGAATTATTCTTTCAATACTGAACAAAACAGATATAAGTTATCTTTTGATATCTTTAGATACCATAAATTAATGTCATTATCTCTATTTTAGGGCGTAATACAAACTAAACATAAGAAACATTGAAAGAATGTGTTCAAATTCAAACTTTGAAGCTCAATACTGGCCATTTAGGTATTACTAATAAAACAGGTAAGAAGCATGCAGGTGTCAAAGTTAGCAAAACAGAAATGGTTAATCTGCCATCCCAAGTGGAATGAAACAAGTATTATCCACAATCCCCATGGAGAGTGGTTTCAGAAAGAGTTTTCCATCCCCAGGGGATTGTGTAGATAATCCTCCGTCCTAGAGGTGTCAGCTTACCTTTGCCTTTAGCCTTACGTTCAGATTTAGAGCGCCCAAAGTTAGACTTAGTGAGTTCCTGTATTACTGTGAAAAACAGTGATCCTACATTACACTATCTACATTCTCAGACAACTTCATGTTAGCGAGATAGATGTGGGGGAAACTTTGGAGAAAACAATGGAGATCTCCACTTCTATCATTTGCACAGTCTTATTTCAGAAACCAAGATATACACCTTAAGGCCTTCAATTTTTTTTAAAATAGGCTGAGATAGAAACTGACTTTAAAAACAGAAGTTCTGAATATAGAATTTCAAAGTTCACTCTATTGGAAATATTAAAAGTTTGCATTATGTTAAAATTCTGAAAAGGTTGAAATCTCAAGCTATAAAGCTGGAAATTCTTTTCTCCAGCTATTGTTTTTCTTGTGTATAGATAAAAAATATCTTTTAAATTTTAAGTTAACACTATAAATAAATTTCTATAATGATAAAAAAAAATGCAAAATAGGTATGTGCACAGCGTCTCATGTATGCATCAGGATGAAATATATAATCATAGAAATCAAACCAGTTTGCAATTAATTAAAATGTAAAACATACTGAGTGAAGATTTTAATTTTATTAAATAGTATGCACAGAAGTAGACAAAAGTTTTGATAGCATGAACTAGTGGAAATCCCTAATGTCCTCCAAAGGTATATTTAATTAACATATGATAAAGTGACGATTAAATGTGAATGAAATGAAACCACTTTGTGAAACAAATTGTTAAGACTTATCAAAGAATTAAACGATATTGGGTCAGACAAAAAAATTTGCAGCAAATATTTGAATTTTAGCTTTGTTTTGTGACAGTAACTGTACAACTTTCAAGATGTCTTAAACTGTGTAAAGACCGATCTTCATTTTTACAAATATTTATCAGAACCAAAAACATGAACAGGCCTGAACTTTGGCCCTTTAATAAACAGTTCTCAATTCAATAGTTCTAAAATTAGATAAACCTGGATAGCTGCAAAGTGGCATCAAAGTTAGGGGTCATAGGGTCAAAAGGTCACATGGCATGCTTACGTTCTGGACTTTTTGGGGGTTCCCGTGTGGACTCTGATCGCTGGAGTATGACGGGTGCCGGGGAAGTTGGAGATGCAGGCTCTGTTACACATGCAAAAACAACATCAAACATGCTTAACCTTCCCTTCCCTACCAAGCAACCATGAACTGTATGGCCATTTGTACCTGACCAGTCCATTGGTGGTTTGTAGGGGTTGCAGTGAAGGTCAACTAGAATATACAAATAACATTTACACACTAATTGTACTGAAGCATGTTAAAAGTAAACACATCTGAAATAAAAGTCACAACATCAAAAACAACATCTTGAAATGCAAATCACAACATCCAACAAATTAAATAATAATTAACTGACAACAAATAGAAAACACCTTTGCTTATGTTACAAGTATAACAAATTTTTTTTATCAAGGCATTATGTTTGGTTGTATGTCAAAATGAGATATTTTTTCCATTTAAATAATAACCTGAATTTTATTTTTAATTATAGTTCTTGTCATTAAATTTTTAAGGAAATTAAGTAAATTCATACAACATATGCATGCATGTAGCTTGTGAAATTTAGATGTTTTATAGAGTGAAAATTTTTTGGGGGCCATTCAGAGTGCCTCAGATTGCATGCAGTCTTGTAAGAAATGTATTTCTAAATTTTCAGTGTCATAATCCTACTTTCTTCACACAAATTCTAGTCTTTATGTTGTAGATCTGCAAGTCACAAAATATTTCAATGAAACCACATCCCATTGTAACTTCCATTCACCTGGTGAGTTAATTATCTCAATCATTAATGATAATGAATCTAAAAATAACCCCAGTATATGATTAAATGATACCACAGCAAAATTAAATGAGCTTGTATGATTTTTATCAAGTCAATCTGTGAAGAAAACAACCTGTTAAAGAATTTCAAGATAATGTGGGGTTTTGTATTTTACACTACTGCATGCAAGCCATTTCCAGTGTTAGAGGAGTTGTCTCCCCTATCTACATGTAGTATTGTCTCCCCTGCGACCTGAAATCTAGACCAAAACACCACATTATCTTGGTAAATCATCACAATGGAGGCAAATCAAGTTAAAAGTGAATCTATTAGTGATCAGAATGATTATGTGCCACAGGAATTCAAACTTCTTAAAAGTCTTAATGTCATGTGTATGTGAGCTGAAAATCTAAAAGAATTGATGGTGAATATTGGAAACCTCATCTACAGTCCAACAAAACTGAGCCAATGATTTAAGTGAATTCAGAGGACCACAGTTTCAACAACCATCTTTCTCTTTTCATTCTTCTTACAACTAAAACAAGCAAATTAAAAAAGAAAAAATATTCACCATTCCATTGTTTTCACTAAAATTCAAAAATCAGTGATGTTCACCTAACCTTACAAACATACCCCGTTATTTCCCATTCTGTAGTCCTTTTTTCCTGTTGTTTTATTTTGAAAAGTTAAATCACAAATTTTCAAGGAACATTGATTGGAGAATCTGTGGTCAATTCTACACTACAAAATGTGAGGAGGTACACAATGAGCTGTCTGTACCTAACCGCTGAGAGGGGACAGGGGCAACATACGCATCATCTATGGCTGTCTCCTTCCAGGCGCCCGATTTGGGTCGCCGACGTGCTAAAAAAGGCAACAAAATAAGGGGGGAATTGCAATGAAACCAAGCGTGACAATTAAAGGAATAATCATAATAAGGAGAAATAACTCAATTTTATTAGTTTAAGAAGCAAGTTTATAAATTGATGTAATCTTGATAGAAATAAGTTTGTAAGATATAACAGCATTTATTAAATACTAAAAAATCTACTAATGCTCTTTTGCAAGATTTCTAGTAAAAGGCCAAACTGGAAACAAATGAGAAAGTAAATAGTAAAAATGTTCTTCTACAAGGATATAATAGATATTGATTAGCAGTATTAAATTTAAATAAATTTCTGACATGAAATATGTCCGTTCTTTGTTCCCGATTATATACAGTATTTTCTTCAATATGCAGTTATGTAATATTTGTCTTGATATATAATTAAGGTGATCTTAATTGGAAAGCCCTTTTTTATACATAAGGATATGTAGAATGATGTCTACCAATATATCAATATATTGGACCAGATTCTGACCGTTGATTATTTTTAATTGAAAAACTTTTGTTTCTTTTTCTAATTTGTTAATTGGTATATATTTCTCATAAAGTATAGTATCTATGAATAATATTTATCTACAGATAAAATTTGGGTTAACTTCTGATTAAAATTTCAATAAATACATTCATCTTGATATTGCAAATACAATTTTGGATAAACTTCTGGGTAACACTGATGTTAATATCTGGTCCGAGCTGAATACCAGACCCACATATCCAACCTTATCAAGCATTTCTGGTTCTGGTTCTCCATTCAACGATATCTTGTCTATAAAACAATATATTACATACGATAAAATTCATCTTCTGCTTCTGCCTTAAAAATATTCGAACATTTTTGCCGTATTTGGTAGTAATTCTGATTTTCTATATACTAAATGTTCTTTGAAGCAAATTTCTGATTACAAGTACATGTTTCATTTTTTACTGACCATGGTATGGGAAAATAACATTGTTTGAAAGACTGACGTCAGATAAGGAGCTTTCTTCATCTGGAAATCAATTAATAATGAAAAAGATTTGAAAATCATTTTGTAATTTCTGACCGGTGCAGTAGAAAAATCTCGATCAAAGTTAAAATGATTTTTTTTTTCAAATTATCCATAATGGCTGAGAGTAACCTATCGTCTTTGATGACTACACGATCTGAATCCAATTTGGAGTATGGCCGAGACTTTGTCATGATTTACGTATCAAAATGCACAAACCCCACAAATGAATTATAACAATTAAAAACTAGAACCAACTCCGCAATAAAACCCTGCATTCAAATATGGAGCAAGCGCATGACTACACAAGTATGAACATGTGGCAGTCACCCACCCTGATACTTATCATCCGTGCTGTACATGTGGTTAGGCGGTACATAGGGGTCTAGTATATCATCTATATTGGTCTCCTTCGACATTCGCTTCTTGCGAGGTGCTGAGACTGTGAAAGAAATATTTTTTATGTATTCATAGAATACACTGGGCAAGCATTGCTATGTCTAATAAAATTTAATCTTATGAAAGTAAAATGAAAGCTTTTATAAATGAAAAAGCAAACAATACAAAAACGTACAAAAACATTTTACAAATAAAGCTTGGAACATGGGGACTACAAATGCTGTGTTGGACTAAAATTGAACTTCTTGGAGTGGCTAAACAAAATAATTTATTGGGAAACAAAAACTGAAATTATGACGGTCAAAGGACAAGAGAAGTGTGTAAGAAAGTTCTGATGATGAGAAAAGTGCCTAATGTATTTTTATATAAGAAATTTCTTCTTGTAACATCATCCATAAACCCAGAAATTGTGATTTTGTACCTAGTGTTACATCATAACATGAAGTGACAGACAATATTTGCTTGATGAAAGAAAACACTGAAATCAAATGATGACTTAGTTTAATTTTGCAGACCTGAAAATTAATTATACACCAAACTATCTACAGCCAGCCTGGTGGGAAAATTGATGATCAATAATGATAATGCAACATTGAGATGGCATCCCATAGCTACATATGAAATCAACAACTCAAAATCACTCGTTCTTAAAAAACAATTAGGACGGACACACAACCGTTGAAAAATTATGTAAGTCTAACAGGTGTGAAGGTTGACACACATATTTCTCGTAGCTTCTGTGAAGACAAATCTATGTAGGATGCTACATAATAGCAGCCAGAATAGAATCTAAAAGATGGAAACATAAATATGTACATCATTCAAACAATGAGCCATTGATAACGTTTAGAAACTGGTTCAGTTTGAGTCTGGCCTGAAACTGTACCAAGTAACACATCTTCATTAAAAAAAGTAATTTTCTTACTCTTGACAATAATCCTTTCATCTGGGTTGGGTTTTTTATTGGTGGTGTTGCTTTTCTTTTATTTTTTTCTCCACATGAAAGTTTCATTGGGTGAATATTGACATCAAAAATCAAATAAATAAATTATATCATATAGCAACAAAGAACAATAATCCGAGACTGATGACTGATAGTTTGGAAATATTTTATTTAAGCTTTGCACGATAACTAGACTGCCATATCGTTAATGCAAATAAACACATTACAGAATGCTTCTAGCTTTAACAAGTCTTAAGCAATAAGCTTATCAAGAATGTGCACTACATAAAGATTGACAAACTTTTACTGGTCCTACCTAGGTCTTTCCTTACTGACCATAGGGCATGTTTAGGTCACTGTGTATTGGTGATATATACAGAAGTTTATTCTGGTGTTCAAACGTTCATGCAATATGAACAGATTACAGAAACAGCAAAATTACATAGAATTGTAGCTATACAGAACACAATATAGGATTCGTAGGGAGTATTATATCAGCATGAAGTATGAACTGTATAGCGAGCATGATATCAGCACAAGAGAATTTAGGGTAGTAAATAGAGTGTAATTTGTATAGGAGCATGATATCAGAATGAAACAGAACAAAATAAATCGTATGGGATTATCAGTATAGATTGTGTATGAAGCACGTCAGCATGAAAACGCATCAAGCTAATATTTCATGTACAAAGTGTGATACCAGTGTAGCTTCCTCCAGGAAGTACCATATCACTATTCATTACATGCTGCATCAAGGAGTGTACTTTCAGTATGGAATTGTAAGGAGCATAGTTTCAGCATATGTTACTGAAGGACTACTGACCTGTGGTGTTGGGAAGGGGAGATTGAGTGGGAGGGGAGGGGTTTTTGAGGAATACATCGTCGTCATCGTCATCATCATCTTCCACCACCGGGGACTTTGAAGCAGTGGTCAGCCCACTGGTCACATTAGCTCCAGATTGACCGGATACACTACCAGCTGAACGCACTATCATGCAATTACAACAAGCATGCAAGGTAATATGAACTAATTCTACAGACACACAATCAGACATGGCTTTGTAAATACCAAAATCCATTGACAGGTTACTTCAATTGAAGACTGGGTTACTGCCAAAACTTAATTCTCTCACAAAATTGCTTTTCATTATTTCCAAGTTGTAAACATCATTGTGTAGATTTTAAACTTTTAAGTTTCTTTTGAAAATATCTTTTCCAAACAATTTCAGTAACTGGGTTGCCAGTTTTTAATCTAATTTTGTAAATAATTAACAACATAAAAACCATGTCCAACATATGGCATATATTACCATACCTCCTGTAATTATTGACAAGCAGAGTACTTTTTGATTCCATTTCTTTCAGATTTTCTTTTAGATAAATCTGTCTAGATTGGAGAGGTGGGCACTAATCACAGCAAATATGGTATAGCAATTACATTTTTGTTAGTATTTCTAAAAAGGTTTTTAATCCCTGGTATTGGAGCAATGATTTACTCTCAGCCAAAAACTGAATCAACATTTTTCTCAACATCTTATTGAACTTTGTATATCATACACTTTGTATACTCTGAGACAAATCAAAATGTAGACTGCTGTGTGCTCTGGCAGACATATTCATTTCCCCACAGATTGTTTTTAGCATAATTCTACATACGTTTCAGCTTCTTCCCCCTCTCCCCCACCCCTTATCAATCTACTTAGTGAACACTGGTTCAAAACAGATTCTTTCAGGATTTGCTTAGAAATCAAGACTTTCAACATTCTATTGTTAACGACTCGCTCAATACATTTAAATCCATAGATTGTCAATATTGCTAAATATCACTTACTGTATCCAATGTTTTTTTTTTTCTTTCTGTTAGCTTTTCCACCACCAATATGTTATAAATGTATATGTTTCTAAATATCTGTACGAGTATAGCCCCACACAGTAATGACTATGCTGATATAGAACAAAGCGAACAGAATGAAACTCATTACTCTTATAAGCAAAGCCATCAATAATAGCTATGTAGAAAATTACTGGTGAGTCATTTCTGTTTTTATATTTAGTTAATAGGAAGAAAGCATGTTGTCATATCAACATTTTTTGGGAGAGGGCAATTAAAAAAGAAAACAGAATTCTTGTCTTCTTCATTTCATAAATTTTAAAAACCAGACAAAATGTAAATTGTTCATTTTGGTTTTGCTTTCTGTATCATTTTCAGAACATTTTAAGAGGTGATTTATGGATTTAGCCAGTTATCTCCCCTAATAAAAATGAAAAATATGAAATAGGCATAAGGGTAGTTTACACAGGTTTTTACAAGGGCAATAAACAGTTCCACTAGGGAAAACTTTCATGATCAAATCGTAAATAATTTTCTATAATATAAACAGAAATCTCCCACCAAGTCACTTGACAACATCAACAAGAGAGTCTAATTCCATCTTCTACCAAACAACAGTTTTAGTACAAGTAGAATGGGAAAAGGGAGATAACTCACCCTCTTCAGCAGGTCTTGTTTCCGTCAGGGAAGATTGTGACATCTTTTGTTGCTGTTGTATGGTCTGCATGCGTTCGTCTGTGGAGATGAGCTTTCCATCTGGGCCTGGCTCAATTGTTTCTTCTATAAACAAAAGGTTTAATTCTGCATTATTAATACAAATAGGTCATTACTTTTCTTTCTTATTTATCTGCATTTCAAAAATTGATTAACTGACTTCACAATTTTTGTAATTACTACATTTCAAGGACCTTGATCTTTTTTTCTTAAATTTTTTTTTAAAAACTTGGATCTTACAAATCTCGACATTCTGAAATTTTCATTAATCAGTTAACTTTTGATAATTACTAAATGTGTAATAGGCACTATAACTGAAATCTCCCAAACTACTCCTTTATTAAGAAATATCTGAATTTTGACTGATCAACAGACAGGAAATAGTTGCCCTTTTAATATAGCTCAAAAATAAAATCTGCAAAAGTGTTCACAATACCCCGGAGTTTCCATATACAAAATCTGAACAGAATTGGTCAATATTTCAATTTGTCACCATTTTGATTTGAAAATAGAATCCATGATACAGTCCCCAATACCACATTTAAGTGAAATCTGTCAATTTCTCAATTTTGACCAATCAGAGGCAAGCATAAGATGTTATTAAAGATCTATAGATTCTTACCTGGCTCGCCGGAGTCCACATGGCCTCCCTGTACCTCAATCTTATACCGCTCAATCTCGTCCTCAGTCATAGACTCGAATGGGTTTGCCTGGTACTGGGATTTGTACACTTGTACATTGTGTTGCTGGTCACGCTGAATGATGCCTTTGGATGCAGCTCCAATTACGATTACACTGTCACCAACCTGACTTAACGAACCGTCCTAAAAAGAACCAATACAGTTAAATTTTCATCGTCTTTTACAATTGTTATTTCAAAGGTTATAATCATTGTGAAATTTGAAGTGGGTTACCTGTTTTCAAAAGGAAAAAACATAGATGTCATCATTATGCATGAAATTCACACAAATGTAATATTTATCTTTATGAGCTATTATGAAATAAAATATGCAGCATAGACAGCAAAACAAATGAATTTCTTCTTTGGATAACTGCTTATTGTGATATTCACATTCAAAATACAATATTATTGATACATATGAACAAGCATGGAAAGTCGATTCCAGAAATTCTGAAGTGTATTCCATTGATTTCATTTTCAACCTCCAATCCACTACATACTAAAGTGTATTCATCAACCTGGTGCAGTAACCAGAAACAGGCTAAGTATCAAATGGTTTGCTGTCAAATGACGAAATGGGAAAGAAAAAAAAAGGATTTTTACTAATTTTCATTTGAAAACATTTAAATGATGCTAGAGAAATGGAACAAAATGGAAATTTTATATTACTACACCATGAAGAAGCACAAAAGCTAATAGTGAAAGCAGTTATTGAGTGTAGGCATGATAAAGAAACAACTATCACAAACAGGCAGCTACAATGACTAGCAATACTGAATCCACTTTATCATCAATTAGCTATGAAAAGCCAATAAAGCCTCCCACACGTCTGTGAAGCATCACTAAATTTTTCATCCTTGTATTGTACTCAGTACTGTGTAAACTTGAGGCATTTCAATCATCAATTAACATGACACATCATGCAATTGTTAAATTTCCTTACATTGAAAATGAAATTAAAACAATCTGACATTTTTCTGTGATTTTTTTTTCTCTTCGAAAAACAGTTTAATTTTTGTCAACTTTGTGTCGAAGACATTTGAAAAAAAAAAATAAAAAACAAAATTACAATATATAACAGACAAAACATTATGTGATATCATTATCAAACTTCATTTTAATATTAAGCTTTGGGCAAAACTTAATTAGTACCAATGGTAAAATATGAAATATTAAAAACAAACACACTGGGATCATGGAATCTTATGATTAGTTCAAAACAGGACATGTTAATCTGGGTAAGATGTTAACAAAAACAAGGGATGATGTGTGTCAGTGATCTAGATAACCTGATCTTATCATAAATTCTCTTTAAGGCTGTGATACATTCTAATAGTATTTGATTTTTTGTCAACTTTTCAAATAACTTCCCTGATGTTTTCCCTTCTTTTATTTAACTCAGTAATGCCCACAGCAAAGTTTACCTGATATTAAGATATCATTGCGCAGCACCACACTATGATCTTGCTTGATAAAGGAGCAAATAGTTTAAACTAATAGAATTTAACATATTCTAATATTTCTATTGAAAACTTTCATCCAAAATATCAAAAACATTCATAGAAAATGATAACAATCTTTATTTTGTAAACCTTTAAAAGTCTCTTGTACAAGAACAGTTCCCGATCATGCTTGTTAAAAAAATACTTGCTTCTAAGTTTTCAAAAAGGCGGTGATTAAGTGCAAGAACACATAAATAACATCCTCATTCTAGGTCAGATTCTTGGTGACATTCTTAAAAGCCCAGAAATATTGGCATTATTTTAATTGGATAAAACCATCAGTGAATCAGTTTATCCTGTGATTTTTTTACAGTTAAATTTCTCAAATAGGTCTTTCTTACCTATGGCAAATATTGAATACATTTGAAATATTAAGAGAAAGAGGGTTAGAAGATATGAAAAAACCACAAAATATTACTGTAGCTAAAATATCAGATAAAAAAGTTAACCAAATGATTAATCTGAGCAAAAGGGAGAAATGTTTACTTAAAATAGATACAAATGAAGCAATAAAAGGAGTCTTTTTTTTTTTTTTATAATCATGGTGAAGTTTATTTTTGCAGTGTCAAAGTTGGGGATATTTTTGCAGTGATTATACAGGTATATACCATAGATTTTTTTATATTTGATGTTAAATGTTTGACAGATAATTATTTATATTTATTTTCACAATATCTTTGATGACTGACATTAAATGTCATGTGAATATCACCAATTACATTTTTTTTCATACACTGCATTTTAATTATACAGCTATAACCATTTAAGAATCCACAAAAAATAGAAACAGAAAAAAAATGAAACATATCCTTAACCAATGAATTGAAAATCCATTATATTAAGTCAGATAATCACTAAACAATGGAATCTGGTTTATGCTAAGGTGATTGGTTAATTCAATAATATCATGCAATATAGGTAGCTGGTTTGGTCTACCCTAAGTCATGCTCTCAGGTATTATATGGTTATCAGTGTTAACAGTATCAAAACTAGAAATACATTTTTGTGTTAACTAACAAGCCTACTAGCACCAACACCAAATTAATAGCTAAACAAAATACAGAAATTATACATGTATAAACTTATGTAACAATACGATCACATTTCTTAATTGGAGATCAGCCAATTACTATCTAGTCAGGTAATGTATGTCATTGATGTAGAGTACAGGTAAGTTACATATCTCCTCATTATCCTCAAATGCCAATATTATCACAATCTGAATACATAGTGACTATAGGGATACACATGTAATGGATAATATCTTGTACATCTCAATCAAAAATTCAGTTCAGGAGATCCCAAAATCATATCAGCTACAATGATTTTAATATCTTTTTTATAAAAGATATCTTATTTTTGTTGTTTCCTTTTATGCTTTTGTTGTGCATTTGTTCACATGTATTATTTCACAGATATTATACTGATAAATAAATCTTATTTGTGTAGAAGCCTTATATCTTTCATATCTCCCTCAATGTCAAAAACCAATAATCATTGTAGCTGATGCAATATTACCAAGGGGAGATAACTCAAACCACTGTACCAAATCTGGACACTTACTAGTTTTCCTTCAGCCTGTAGTAAAGAAAATAATGCAAGAAAAAGAAACTCAATATGCATTTCATGTCAAAATGAACTGTTCATACAAACACCAGATCAGCATTTGTAACGACGTCACTGGTAACAACACAAAACACATCTTTACACTGAGAAAAATTGTGTTTCACATGGAATAAGGACACACATCACAGTACATACTACATTAATACAACTTGAAATAAGGTCATACAAAAAATAAACAAATGGAACAAAATATCAGTAAAATTAATTAATCATATCAAACACCAGAACCATGGTGCAAAATTAATCTCAAAACAGCAAACGTTTCACATTTAAGCATCAAAAAAATCAAACTGCGTGGAATACTTAAAACAGATTCACCATTGAGCTTGAGCAAAAGTTGTAATGAACAGCATGCTTTCTATGAATGAGATCGGAACACAAGGAAATGATAATGATATTTGAAGACGATGTTATGGTAAAGCAATGATAAAATTCTATCAAAAAAATAAAACAGACTAAACAAGCTCTTGCTAGCCTTTTCTGTTCAATTTTCCAGTAACACCAGCAGACATGTCAGGATGTATATATGATTGTTGGGATAGTTGATGGTATGCTACATGGAGATAAACATGTTGCTGTTTCTTCACAAGAAGATTCTATGTAGACATATGACTTTAACAGTGAGACATTTTGACCATAAATATAGCAGCTTTCTATAGCTACTAGTTTTTTTTAATATGAATGGATGTAGGTATTTGTAGTGTTTTATTACAAGATTTGCTTTCTACGATGCTGGTTTACAACCTACTACCAGGGTATAGAAACTATAGAAGGGGTATTAACAAGGTTACTCCTCCTCCAAGTATATTCTATTTGATTATTTTCTATCATGGAAGAGGAGTGTCCTAATTAGAGGTAGTATAAGCTACAAAAGAGGGCTCTACCACCAGGTGTCCTAATGAGAGGTAGTGTAACCTACAAAAGAGGGTGTCCTACCACTAGGTGTGACCTAATTAAAGGGAGTGTACCCTACTAACGTATGTGTTCTACCACCAGGTGTGTTCTTCTAAAAAGGATTGTATCCTTCTGAAAAATGTGTCCTACTGCGTAATGTTTCTTTATACAAGAGAGTGTACAAACTGAAGTGTGTGTCCTACCACCAGGTGTGTTCTTACACAAGGGAGTGTACCAACTGAAGTGTGTGTCCTACCACCAGGTGTGTCCTTACACAAGGGAGTGTACCCAATTGAGGTGTGTGTCCTACCACCAGGTGTGTTCTTTCACAAGGGAGTGTACAAACTGAAGTGTGTGTCCTACCACCAGGTGTGTCCTTACACAAGGGAGTGTACCCAGTTGAGGTGTGTGTCCTACCACCAGGTGTGTCCTTTCACAAGGGAGTGTACCCAATTGAGGTGTGTGTCCTACCACCAGGTGTGTCCTTTCACAAGGGAGTGTACCCAACTGAAGTGTGTGTCCTACCACCAGGTGTGTTCTTACACAAGGGAGTGTACCCAACTGAAGTGTGGCCTAACACAAGGGATGTGATAAATTGAAGCATGTGTCTTACCACCTAACAAAAGTAATATTTCTTAATTTTGTATCATGTTTCCTGACTTACCTTCAGTTTCTGTGCCTCTTCCCACGTCATTCCCTCAAGTACTCGTGACTGAGGTCCAGCATTCACCTTCTCCTCATAGTAATCCTTTCTGATCTGTATCAAATACATTTACAGTTACAAACTTTTAGTGATACGACAAGCTCTACATTGAAAACTCATAAATAGCCAAACACTACAAAATATCACAGGCTAATGACTTAATCTCTTGTAAGGATCATCCATTGTTATTACCAATATATATTTTCAGAAATCATACAACAATAAACCAGTGACTGATCTCTGTCACAAACTATAGCCTGTTTTAAATACGAAAAAGAAACTTTGAAAAAATAATGTCAAAAGCTCTTTTCTTAGATCTTACTGATAGAACTCTACTGTACAGTTTGTAATTAGAGCTGCCTAACACTGTGTACATTACCTGTTTTTGTCTCTGCTTAAATTCCTTGGGATTGTCACCAAGTGGTGCGAATTGATTAGGGTTATCTAGTCTCATTGACATGGCCGCCCGTTTTGGAGAATCTTCATCCTCCTGTACCCACTGTTGACAGAAAAACTTCAAATTCACACCTGTTACTCAACAATATTGACACAGAAATACTCCTGTATCAATAGTAGACAGAAAATAAAGTTCAAATCTCCCACTGAACAAAATAACTGAAAAAAACAACATGTAATTCACATCCGTCATTGAACAAAATCAAACAAGAAATATCATAATCCTCAAAAGGTGTTATAAAATGTTTTATGTAAATTGCTCAGAAGACAGAAATAAACAAAGGCAGGACAATCAAATTCTATTTTATATGTTTATGTTCTAGATATATGTATTCCATCAATTACTGCTGATAAGTTTGAGACTTTATTCTAAGTTTCTGCTAGATGCTATCAAAGTTGTTGTTAATGAATGCCCTGCTCCCTCAGGCTCCCTCCAACATTTAAGATAAGTCTATAAGCGAGTGCCACTTTGTCAAACCCAAACTAAAGACCAGATCAGAATAATTCAATATTTCATATTAATGTAACTTGGACTGATACTTAAATTTTCAAAAATACTTCAGCATTCCTTGAATGATTCTAAAAGCAAGTTCGCTATTTTCTGTAAGTCAAAGTAAACCTACATACAATATTTGGTTGAAATCTTACACTTTCATCAATTAGATACACCTCCATAATGTTAATTTTTTTAAGCCAAGAAGATGAAAGTGATATTACTTCAAAAATATCAAAATGTTAACCAATACTACAAAAGTAATTGGAGATCATCTCAGCTTTTCAGAAAATTAGCCAAATTGTTAAATGTCATAAAAGATCACATCTTATCGTATTATGTGACCTTCATTCACTACCTCGAATAAATACAACCTTAGAATCCATTGTTATAAAACTGTGTTGATCAGTCTTACAATGTCTGTTCATACCAAAGTAAGTAAAATTTAAAAGAGAGAAAAACTCTAGAAGAGTTTGCCTTAATACCATACCTTAGTTATCTTTTTTGGGTTAGATGTGCCAGTCTCTTCCATCTCTTGCTTGACATAGTTATTTGGGGAGTTGAGCCAGCCAGCCTTGTAATGTTGCTTCTGTTTCTCTATTGCAACTTTGTATGGGGACCTACAGAGACAATATCCATAAAACCTGTATTAGTCAACAAGTCTTTTAGCATTGCTGAACTCTGTACTCTATCAACATTTTCTCTTTTTACTCTGAAAAACATTTTTTGCCAAATTGTCAATATTCTTTTAATAATAACATGATTTTCAGTTTCTTATTCAACAGTCTACATACACATAATAACGGTAATATCCTAAGGGTTATCCACAGACTTTCCATGATTTTTTTTTGTTGCTAAGTCTATTCTCAAGTTACCTATTGTTGCAGACCTACTGACGTTTTTGCAAAATTCTGTAATTTTCTTTGGAGTTATAAATAAATAGAAAGTCAGATCAGGTATGAAATTACAAAACAGACTTCAATTCAGTGTATCTAATAAGGCAGTCTCTTGCACGTGCTGTATTGAATTGTACCTTGAGCATTGATCGCGGCAGAAATTTTGTTCAACATTATGAACACAATTATAAGTTAGTTATTAGTTAAGTCATGTGTTAATGTTTTATAATTTGCTGTATTAATTGCCCCTGTGACCAGCAAGGGTCATTTTGAGGATGGTAGTGGATGGCTATCTCCCTGGAGGCCCAAATAGCCCAAGAAATATTCCTTGTATGCATATACCAGTTTGATTCTCAGCTTCCTGATAGAAACAAACCGTCAATCACTTACAATCACTTACATGTATTTAGAATTTTCATAATCGCCTTCAAACATGTGTGCAAGGTTGCTAGATGCTGGAGGTTCTGCCACATCATTTGCACGATCCCGTCTTATTTCTTGTTTAAGAATTGGCTGTCTATACACATATCCTGTTCTGTAACCCTGAAAACCAAAGAGACACTCAAATCATTGACAAATCAGGGAAACATTGAGAAATAACATAAATTTTGTGGTAAATTCACACACTTTATAAACCAGACTTTCGTTATGGCCATGCAAGTCTCATTTCTATTGTTTGTTGTAGAAAGGTGAAGAAATGATAGACAATATCTTTGGAAGAGAAAAAATGTGGGAAATCTTAGACATCAGTGGAATCATCTTTTATAAAGTAGTTGACAATTTTGAAAAATGCATTTCAACAATTATGAAACTTTCTATAAACATGAACACAAAAATGAATAAGAGCATCCATGAATACAAATATTAAAGTTGATATTGAAAGAATTTTGACGTAAAAGAAGAATGTAGTACTTGTAGAATGTTTCGCAAAAGCACATCAATTAAGGGCAGTGTTCTGTCATTTACGATAGATACATACAACATTATCTAGCTGCCTCATTTGGGCCTCAAACTCGAGCTCTCCTTGCCGCCACTTCTTTCCTCCAGTATCCACTCCTCCACCTCCCTGGTTTGCTATCATGAACGCTTTCTTACGAACCTCAGGATCGATAAGAACTAGGTTATCTATACCAGCAGCCATAGCATTCATCTGCAAAGGACATTTAATCAAATGACATCTATAAAGGTGCAGAATCATACAATTTTGAGTTTTAACGGAATAAATTCCATGTACATCTAATTACACTCTACTAAAGTAATTTTTAAGGAGGTGATGATCTTATAACATCTGCATTTTTTTTTTAATTATAAAAAGTCATTTTCCATAGTTAAGTCCTTGGTGTTTAATTAGTTCCTCTCAACACGTCCTCATATGACCCTGGTTGTTGTTTAACCCCATAAAACCAAATTAAACCTTTTGCAATCACCAAATTCCCTTATGACCTTTTACTATACTTACTTACAGACAAAAATACTGTTATTATAATAGATATAAGTCATAATTTAGTAAATTTACATATTTTTTGTACTCTTTTTGGAACGAGTCAGCATTTTCATACTTTAAGTAGTATAACGAAACATATTATGATTTTAATAACAATACAAGTTTGCCATAATTTACCAGTAAATCTACAAAATCCTTAGAAACTGTGTAATGTCTGACAGCTGGGTTTGTTTTCACTGGTTTCAGATGGGGCTTTTTTGCCTCAGTTTGGGCAGAACATTGATGATAAGAAGAAAATTTTCAGGAGTATAATTGCAAATATTGGGCATTTGGCTTAAACTGGAAATACTTTCATTTGGAAACATGAACTGTAGATGGACTGTAGATATTTACCTGTGCTTCACAAGCCGACATTACATTAAAGGCAAAGTGGAAGGCCTCCTCTGTTGTTACACCACAGGCTACCACTCCATGGTTCCTCAAGAACATCACCTAAAACACACATCAAAAACCGTCACTCATCAAAATATATCTATAAAAACAAATTCTGATCTTATTCATCAAATTATTCAGTTGATCATCATAAAGGAAACCTACTGCAAGCAGTTTTCATGGGGGATTAATTTTTTTGAATTCTGCACTCCTATAAAATGATAAACAGATAAAAAGTTTACACCAATTTTAGTACTACAATTTCCGATAAATTACCAAATTGGTCAAAATCCTGTAAGTTGTTTATGACTAGTAGTGATTTTTATGAAAAACTAACAGACAGACGTACAGATGCGGCAGTATGCCATAAGCTCACATTGCCCTTTCAGCCAAGTGCCAAGTGAGCTTTAAACCACCAAATTGGAGCCTCACTAAAATATATGATTTTAAAGTATAATTTAAAGTTACCTTTGTACCTGACCCCTGTTCTTATTTTGAGAACGTGAAATTAATTCCATTCTTATTGCTTTATGGGTAGTTGTCACTGGTGAACTTCCCCTTATAAAATGTTTAAAGGCATCTGTATGTATTTGACTGTTATTCATTTCTTGCCATATTTTTTCATTAGTTCATAATTTCAGTTTTATTCCCAGTATCGAAGTGGTATGCCCATATGATACCAACCTTATTTATTGGTCCTAGATTTCTCTGTAAGGCATCTCGATCATTCTGGTCAATTAAGATACCATTATAATCATGGTAGCTCACATCACCACAAATTACCGACTCTTGGGACAGCGGTAAAAGTCCACATTTCATTACAGATACAGCTACAGCCTGAGGTGTGTGTAGATGAATAATGCACCGGATATCAGGGCGGGCCTGGTGAATAGCAGAGTGCAAAGTAAAGCCAGCTTTGTTGATGCCGAGGGTTGTTGTGCCCTGATCTACCACCTCACCCTGCATGTCAACCTTGACAAGGGATGAAGCTGTAACCTCAGAGTACAGCAGTCCAAAGGGGTTTATCAGGAAGTGTTCCAGTTCCTGGTTGATTCTCGCCTGAAACCAAAACAGATGTTACAGTTAAACCATCAGCAGTAACTAACAAATGTTGAATTGACCCAACACTTGGGCACTATCTCCTATAACATTTATATTTTAGCTGAAGATGAAATGAAAATGCAGTTTCCTCAAAACAATCCAGGAAGCAATTGACTTGAATCAGGAGATTACAAAGAAAGATGTCTGCTTGGAACTGCCATTAGACTTCATAACTTACGTGTGTTGTCTACGTATATAATAATGTAAGATTCACCAATTTTATGCTTGTTTATCTCATGCTTCATTAACATATAGTAGTTGTCGAAAATTGAAAAATCTCCCAATCAATAGTTTTGTCAAATCAATGATAGTGTTCATTATAGATTCATTTATTTTAGTTCAATCAGATATTTGCTAATTGTCAATTCTTAACACATAATTGTTACATTGCCAGCATACAGTAACTGCGTTCAGTGCAATCATAATTTAATGGTGTATCTTAGGTGCAAAAGTGCTGTATGGTGTGTTCCACACATAATTGAGTAAACCATCTGTATTATGGTGACTTACACTGATGTGATTAAAGATTCCATGGGTCCAGCCCTTCATCTCAATAAGTCTGTAACATGAAGCCACCTTACATCGCAGCAGTTTCTCCCCTTTGCAGTAATTGATCGTGTCCGTGCCATGGATATCTGATATTGGAATGACGGGGCCAAGAGCTGTCAAGGTCAAAGCAACATTATAAACACATTATGAAATGTAAACTTTTTCATAATTGGTAGCAGTAAATTTGTTCTTGTGAAGTCGTAATTACTCGTGATATTTATGAGTATTTTCCTGTTGCTGGGGGAAGAGATTTGCATAAATAAGCTCAATAAGCTTGATTGTGCACAATGTGGAGTTAACCAAAAATTTTGCATTAGGAGTCTGAATGGAGGAGTGAAGCTTATATGAAAATAGGCCCTTAATGGGACAATGTCTTACATTGTCTGGCACGGCCAATGTGGTTGCGAGGGAGGAGGAGGTCAGAGATCTGCTGTAATGCTAGGAGACTTGCAGGGTGGGGTCCCGATTTGATCTGCTCATCCACAATTTCCTCCAACTCCTTACGAAACGCCTCACTGTTGAGGATGAGGGACACACGACTACGGTCCTCCATGTGCTTCACATCTTCCCGCACATCTGCAGGGCGCATCATGCGCCGCTGATATTCAGGGTCATCTGGATCTGAAAAACAATCATCAATTTCTATTGTTTTGACTTTCCAAGGAAATTTTGGTTGTAGTTACAAGTTTTATTTATTCTTATTTTTCTAAACTTTCTTCTTTTTCATCAAAATTGATCTTTTTCCATCCTGGTGGGTAAGAACAGATGTCAGTAACTCTGCATGTCCCCACACCTGATATAATTAAAGAGCATCAACAGAAAAATATTGACAACTGTGTTAAGTCTTAAAAAGTATTAAAAAGAACCTACATCACTGAATACCTTTAAGCTCACTTTTGATCCAGTTGAAAAAATTAGGTAAAAATGAAAACAGGGGGAATGTGTCCGAAATTTCAAAGAAACAAGTTTATTATATTTATTCAGGACTGGAAATACCCCGAGAGCCTCTATTCCACAAACAGATACTAAGGAGTGCAGACAGATTTCTAAACATTGACATAGCCCACCTTCCACTGTGTCACAGTTTGTCTCTAACCCCTCCATAATGATAGGCTTTAACCCTGTGATGACAAGTCCACAATCAACACTGTTGACAAATGGCTTTTTAGTACAGTTCCCAATATGATTCATCACACCCCCATTCAGCCGGCCAGGTAAAAACAGCTACGTTGCTGTCAAGTATTGCTGCAGTGCATTATAAAATACACACAAGTACGAGCCAGAACTACTCGGTATGTTCAAAGCTTTGACTTCATTATGAATTGCTCAGGAAAGCTTAGAGCATTTAAAAATTTCGAAATACAAAAATATGATATTTCTTTTTTTAATGCAATTGTTTTATGCTTCTATTTTGTTCATAAGAAATTGGATAAACCTGGAAATTAGTAAAATATTGCCCAACAGAACCCACTTTAGTTGATAGAATAATTAAGGTAGGACGTAGGGCATGTCTTTGATCTGAACCTAAAGTATGTCACATAAATCTGCAGATAATCTACTAGTCTATGACAAACAATACCTATTAATGTAAGATTTCTCTAAAATTAAATTCTACTCTTTCAAGTAGAATATGTTTATTTTTTACTAACATTAACACAGTTCAGATAATACAATACAAGTGAGCCAAAAATTGTAATGTATAGTTTATTTCAATATCTAAAGTCCAAATGAAAATTTGTAAGTTTCCCTCAAAAAAAAAAAAAAAAAGAAACCCACAAAGACTTGGAGGAATATTTAGGACAGGACAAGTCTGATCATCCTGTCAAGCTTTTGTAAAGAAGCCAGGCAAACAAAACAAAAATCAGACAGTGTAAGACAGCATGAGTCGATTATAGGGCATGACACTTATTTCTGTTCATGTCTGGTTAACTTTTAAGGGCATCTGGAAGGAATGTACTTTTCAAGATCAACATTCCAGTACACTAAACTTTCTTGTTTGGAACCTTTTTCTCCGAGTGTTTTCCAAAACATAAAAGCCAAAATTCACAAGGATTTAAACTGAAACAATCGTGGTTGAATAATACTACTTCAGTGCAGATGAAAAACATTTTCCTAGAGGCAAAACACACGTTGGTAAATTTAGTATACATAACACTGCATCAACCCATCAGATCTAAATTGACTGCCAAACGAGCATGTCTGGCTGCAATAAACCGATATTTACAAGTACAAGCACTTCAAGTGCACATGGACAAGGGGTCTTGTTTGTTCTCTGACAAATAAAATCAAAATCTCCTCACCCAACTAGTATGCTTATCAAAAAAATAAAAACACATTTTCAGAACCATAAATATAACATTAAAAGCTTGGAAGAAGGTTTAGGCATTTTAAGACTTAAAAGACTTATAAACCATATCTAACTAACAAAAAGAATTGACAGCTCAAATAAACAAGTTTATTTATTTCACAACAATTGCAAACAAGCTACCTGCTTATTTTAATAATTCTTGTTAGCCAAGATGGAAGTGCATGAATAGTGCAGTAATCTATTCCTCTTGGAAATCTAGACTTCACCTACACATATCAAAATCCCAAGCTTACCTTCATCAAAATATAGAATCTAGATAAGACAGAAGGGACACAAACTAATAACTAATGTATGATATTTTAGTTTTTTTCCCCCGATGAAGGATTGTACATGTATTTCAATATTTCAGCCCTGTTGCATATTAACTAATGTATTTATCAAAATTCTGATAAATATGCTAATATTTATTGGGGATAAAAAATGCCTTTTATCCCCACTTTCGGACACACTCTATTCATAACAAGTAGAATGTATGCATAATGTATTAGTGTCTTATTGAGAATGAATTTGTAACTTTCAGATACTTCACTCAAATGTAGAGACGTGTATTTGATATGTTCCTGACAACAACCATCATCTGAAACCAACGAGACTTAGCAGAGTCTCATGGGTTTTTGATGATGAACAACCACAGAACTTTCTGAATGTGTTTCTTGCCTACAGCGACTGCAAAACAGCATTTGTTATTCATGGGTTAGAAATACATTTTGGATAAAGTAGGCATTTTGATGTATTTCGACTTATGCATAGCTTTCAAGTTGGGAGACGGTAACCTCACCTCGCTTGAACTTATGCAAGTGTATACCAGCGTATTGTTCACTATACAAAACTTACTCATAACTTCTCCAACCTACACAAAAACATTAACCAAATTTTTCATGTGTTGACTAATACTGGCTAAATCATTAATATGTGACAGGTGTGTTAGGAGTCTAAGGGTTTTGAAATATAACTTACCTATGGTATCTATGTATTTCCCTGAGGGGGGGCTAGATGGCCCATTCGTCTGAGGGCCATTCTCCGTCATCCTTCCTTACTGTTGAATGTCCTACAAAAAGCAAAGAGATTCAGAATTACAAAAAAATCCTTGACTACTATCAGAATTGACAAATTCTGTTACAATATGTTGCGATCTGTTTTAAACTATGATTCACATGTATCAGATTAACTCTAATGAAGTCCTTTCTGATAACCTATTTATTGCAAGATGTGACTGAAATATTTGGATTTTCCCCCAGAATTTCTGTTTTTTATCATTGTGGTATTTATGGCATGGAGAAAACAGGAGAGAAATGTAACCCATGACATAATATCTGTCTATAGTGGCTGTCTCTTGAGTGTGTTTTATGTCACCAAATACCTGGCTGCATTTCTGTTAGATACACCTATCCCTTTATGTACCACAATCCAGAAAACAAATTTATTAAGGCAACATGTGTTACCATTCACATTAAAACAGTAAAATTCTGCAGTTTAGCTGCCGTTTTTGACCTGCTACATTGTCATTTCCATATTATGACATCACATGTACATCACAGAACCTGTTTGCCCTTTGTTATAAATCTAGTTGTAGTGTCATGTTACCAAATACTCCATAGATACAAATCTTTGACAAAGATCTACTGAAGTGTTGATATTGGAGACTTTAGGTATGGAATTCACCTTGGAATCCCCTATTCTATTTATCTGAGGTGTTAGGCCTGAAATCCATCTACACACTCCTTGTCCTATTTATGTAAGTTTAAGATATGAAATTAACTTCCAAATGCCTGTCCTATTTATCTGATATTTTAGGTCTGAAATCCATCTACACACCCTCTGTCCTATATATCTCTGGTTTTAGGTCTGAAATCCATCTTCACATCCCTTGTCCTTTTTATCTGAGGTTTTAAGTCTAATATTCTCTTCCAAACCCTATCCTATTAACCTGAATGTTTTAGGTCTAAAATCCACCTCCGAACCCCATCCTATTTATCTGAGGTTTTCGTATGGAAGAAGTTTCATCTTAAAAAAAATTTAAAACATTTTCTTTTACAAATACCACAGATCTGTTGCTAATTTCAAAAATGTGGTTTGAAATCCAAATCCATCTTAACACAGAGGGAGAAAGGAAGAAAATTAAATTGTGAGACACTTAGTGGTGTTGTCTACAATATTTAGAAGCTGTAATTACCAATCCCACTAAAAACAAGCATTATGAGTGAGTTGTTAAGGTTCTTGGACGAAATTGGTTTTGGGACTCCAAACATAATGTTCCAGGATGTGTGTAAAATATTGTAACAAGTGGTTGACATTAGGTATTTTGATTCAATGAGACTAGACCTGATCTATTTCATTACTCGGTGACTCTCATCATTCAACATCATCAGGTAAAAACAACACTGACAGGGAGAGGTGAAGCAAAACATTAAGTATTTAGTAGTCCATATAATATGTCATTTTCATAAATCATTTGCTGACATCAATATCAAAGGTCAGTGGATAAACAGATGTACTGACATCCATCATGTTAATTCTGGTGTAATCCAAGGTCATATTTCATGTCCCTTTAACAAATTCAGGTTGGTAGATATATCACAACATTAAACTCAACCCAACTTTTCTAAAGATGCAGCATAATGATTAATGATGAAGATGTTGAAATGGCACAAATACAGTTTCATGATTAACAAGACTGACCTTTGACATTTGTCAATCAATTAGGTTTCAAAAATCATGGTTATGTCTGCTGTAGACTTACACTTGTCCAGCAAATGAGCTGAATACAGAAATAAAATTGGTAGCTAAAAAAAAGGGACAACTTCCAATCTATAAAAGGATAATGACTCCAACCACTCCTTTACACCTCAACAAAAAAGAGGGAAAATCTGCATAATGTTTAAATTAGACCTATGTCCTCAATTAGAATTCTGATTTCCATCCAAGTTCTGTCTCTACCTACAACATCTCCTTCCTTAGACTACACCCCAACATCAACCCAAACATGTTATCAATAATTAGATTAAACCAAGTCCACTACAGACCAGCATGTCAGTAGAAACATTTAAGTACAACTAATTTATGCCTGTCCAAGAAAAACAAACGTGACATTCCTATGGCTGAGATAACAAATGATTCACCAGCTACTGAAATATCAACTCTACTTTACACATTACACTGCAGCAGATAGAATAGCAAATCAGGGGAACCTGAACTACCTAAATCTTTGTCAGCTTATCCTTTGCTAGTTTTCATTTGTAAATTTAAAATGACTCACAATGCCTGAATTAAATTATCTAGCACTAAGCAAAAACCCTTTCCTGATGGCATTCAAAAAAAAAAAACTATTTTAATATCTACAAAATTTTTAAGTAAGTTTGTGAACAATAACATATTTTAGTATCAATTTATAAATGTGTTACTGGAAAGAAATGCAGAATATCTGATGAAGCACCCTGCCTGAGTAATGTGAGTCAGAAAATTTCACAAGTCATTGTAACCCGATGAGGATTGGTATATTTCATTACAAAATAAAAATATCTGTTTACATCTTACAAATGAAATAACTGAAGCACAACATGTTGGCATAACATGGAAGCTGCTATAAATAGCCAGAATAATTTGTGTTACTGATCCAAGCCTCTCCTCAGAGAAAACATACCAGCACAATAACTGACAGCTTTATGAAATGGAGTACTATCTTTAATTACCAAACTTACCAATAATGAGGATATACATTATTAATATATTTGTTAGCTAGATTTATCACCCTGTGAACAGTCAGGGTCATGTCGGGGGTCTCCTTATAGTAGCTGGTGACAACCTCATTGAACAACATACAGGAAACCCGTTAGGTCTTCCAGAGCAATGAGGATATACATTATTAATATATTTGTTAGCTAGATTTATCACCCTGTGAACAGTCACGGTCATGTCAAGGGTCTCCTTATAGTAGCTGGTGACAACCTCATTGAACAACATACAGGAAACCCGTCACGTCTTCCAGAGCAATGAGGATATACATTATTAATATATTTGTTAGCTAGATTTATCACCCTGTGAACAGTCACGGTCATGTCGAGGGTCTCCTTATAGTAGCTGGTGACAACCTCATTGAACAACATACAGGAGACCCGTCACGTCTTCCAGAGCAATAAGAGTAAAGTGTATAGCGCAAAGACATAGCCACATCAGCACAGACTGGTCCTTTCTCGGCTTCCCTAGAAACCCGAACCACTATGGAGTATCCAGCAACACACCTCGGATCTTCATCTGAGGATATGTGAGGTAATGCTCTACCCAGCTAAGCGATCACTGCTGCAACTTAGGAATATAGAAGGGAACACGGGGAAAACACAGGTCTCAACATACCACAGGCCTAAAATTTATCCTGTATCCTAGTGCACAAACTTACAAATTATCTCCCAAAGTTAGGAGTGGGCAATGAAAAGCATTTATTTGCAATTTTCCCAAATATCAATTGATATTGATGGGCTTATTAACAATATGGAATCAATCCGATTGTAAGGAAAGTTTGAGGTGCAGATTTTAATTTAAAGTAATAAAATAAACTTTCATCAGAATAATACCTTTCACAATTAATTTGTTAGCTCGCAAGTGTTAATTGTTTTTTTTACTGTAACTGTACCAGTCAGGGCAGCATTTATCCAATCTAAACACTGCAGTCTATTGATCTGTATTACAAATGCTACACCCTGACACATGGCCCAATGCTTTACTGATAATTTATGGTAAATACACCAAGCTGTACCAAACCATACACCACAAGTTTGTTAGACCTGTAATTTTCCCATTTACATACATCTGCATAACAATTCTAACATGTAGTAAAGTAAAAGTGTTCTCATCAGACCATTATATTGATGTGTTTGTATACATTGTGTCAACATTGACGGTTAGTTAAGAGACATGTAGTACACAATGCATATGATGAATCTATGATTCTGTATCAGACTTTCTTATTCACTTTTTGCGTCATCTTGGGAAAGAAATTGGAAAATTGTGAGGAAAGTTTCAGGAGCATATTGCAAGCTTTCTAAATTTGGTTTCAACATAGAATAATTTCAATTGGGAATGGGGACCATTATTGGCCCCCAAAGTTCTGCTGTATTATATCATCACCATACATAAATAAAGTATAGATATATTAAATATTACTTATTATTTTGATATCAAAACCTGTTATAAAGAATTCAAACCAAATATCAAAACAATAACAATAATAAACAGCGTGTGATATTCTTTGCTTCAGAATAATCCTTTAAGTATAGAATTGTCAATAATGGAATTGAGCTGCACTTTTACAATCCACTTTATCATGCAATGGCAGTACTTAAATGATGGATATCAACATCTTCTTTATGCAGATGTCATTTCAAACTCAGCAATAGAGTTTACATGTCTAAAGACAAATAATCATCACAGTCAGCACAAATAGGTACACAATGAATTTGGACCATAAAAGCTCTTTTCATTTGTTATTGTTTGACCTATCTAACTGCAGAAAAACAAGACTTTCTCCATTCCAAAATGAATTTCATTTTCCGGAAACGAAGTAAAATCCACGAATTTGCTCCCAATTTTTCACAAAATCCTCCAATATTTTCACAGGTCAAGAAGGCACAGACTGCCATAAAATCAAGGGAGAGAAAACAATGTATAACACCAAACAAAGACTAGTCTATGTTTTAGGCACTGCTATGTTGTTTTGAGGGCAAACGTATGGCCATAAAGCTATAATCAATAAGGTTTTCTCCTACTCTGTAACATTACATGGTAGTCTGGCCCATCAGCCATCTGCTGAGGGGAATGACATTGCTTCTGTAAGCATCCTGCTGATCAGAGAGACATTTCTGTACTGAACATTGCCTTCTGGTTACCAGCTGTGACCCGCTGGTTTGTTTGGTGTTTTCAATTTATTTTCATTGTCTTTTCCATCAGGAAAAGTTGAAAACTGCACAAGGTGGTAAACAACATCCAGAGCTCAGGCTAATTCACAGAAAACAAACCTGAAGTGTTCACTTGTGTTTTGAGAGCCCACTAAAGCAG